AATGATTAGGACATGTTGAGTCTGCCTTGCCCAAAGGATAACCCTACCTAGGTAGACGGGGTGTGATCCTCACCTTCGCCGTGTGCATTCCTAAACCTTCCTTCTTTCCTGTACTGAGGATTGTGGAAGCTGGAATGAAAAACGAGGCACTGATATTTATAGTAGGATCAAAGCATTCAACAGAGTAACTGAGAATTGATGTTGAAATGCTAACAGCCCATGAGAGATAAAAGCTTTCTTTGAGAACTAATTACTAGTGAATTATTCATCAAGGGTAATGTTGCCCCCTGCCACTAGCGATCCTTCAGATTGCCTGTGTAGGGAATTTTCCACCTGGATGGTCACTTTGATAACTTCTGCAGGACAAAAGTAGCTTTTCCAACAGGAAAACAATAAACCATATCACAGCTTGTCTCGAGTACATTGCTCATCCATGCTCAACAGACCAGAGGAGTGAAAAGCTAAGTGCTCTGGTGCTCTTACCCCCCAACCAGCACTCCAATTGTTGAGAGGTCTCAGACCTTATCTGGGATTTTTGTAGGAAAAAAAAGAAAACAGAGGAAGAGCCCCAGAAATCTCTGCCACCAGGCTTGGGATGTGGGGAGGAAAATATACCCCTTAGACATATTTATATTTGTTGAATGACTACTAAACTTATTTCAATACAGTCACGCGCTACATAATGCTTCAATCAGTGATGGACCACATGTACAACAGTACATGTGGCCCTTTAAGATCATAATGGAGCTGGAAAACATCTTGTGATCTGGTGACATCCGTACAGCAGCACAACCTTTTCCGTGTTGAGAAGTTTAGATACACAAATATTTATCATTATGTTACAGTTGCCTACAGTATTCAGTCCAGTAACATGCTATTTAGGCGTGTAGTCCAGGAATAGGCTATGCCATGTAGCCTGGGTGTAGAGTAGACTGTGCCACCTAGGTTTGTGTAAGTGGACTCTGTGATGTTTGCACAATGACAAAATCACCTAACAACGCATTTCCCAGAACATGGCCCTAGCCTCAAGCAATATACAACTGTGTATGAAACTTTCCTCTTGCGAGCTGATGCGTTGCTAAGCCTTTTATAAAGCGAACTTCAATATTAACATTAAAGATACAGTGAATCCATATGCCCATGTTAAAATTCTGGAGATTTTTTTTTTTTTTTTTTTTTAGTTAGGGTCTCACTCTTTTGCCTAGGCTGGAATGCAGTGATGCAATCATAGCTCACTGCAGCCTTGAATTCCTGGGCTCAAGTGCTCCTCCTGCCTCAGTCTCCAGAGTAGGTAGGACTACAGGCCCATGACACCATCCCTGGCTAACTGAAAACATATTTTTTAGAGAAGGGGTTTTGCTATATTGCCTATCCTGGTCTCAAACGATCCTTCCATCTTGACCTCCCCAAGTGCTGGGATTCTAGGCATGAGCCACTGTGCAAGGCCAAAGTTCTGAAAATTTTTTATGTCAATCCCATAAACATAATACTAATACCTTAGGAATCAACCTCTGGAAATCATCAATAAGAGAATGGCCTTTTAAATAGAGCTGCTTTCGTTTTCCATTTGAACAGCACAACAAATGAATTTTGATTATCTTTTTTAGAAATACTCATAACTCAGAAATTCTTGGTTCTTCTCATTGTACAAAATAGACACACATGTATTTGATTGCAGAGAAATTCACAATGGCAAAGACGTGAAACCAACCGAAGTGCCTATCAGCCAATGAGTGGATAAAGAAAATATGGCATATACACACCATGGAATACTATTCAGCCATTAAAAGGCAGGAAATAACGTCTTTTGCAGCAACTCAGGTGGAGCTGGAGTTATTTCACTATTCTAAGTGAAATAACAGGAGTGGAAAACCAAAAGCTGTATGTTCTCACTTATAAGTAGGAGCTAAGCTATGGGTACACAAAGGCATACAGCGCGACATAATGCACTTCGGAGACTCGAAGGGAGAAGGTGGGAGTGAGGCTAGAGGTTAAAAACTACACATTAGGTAAAACGTACACTGCTCGGATGATGGGTGCATATCAGAATTCAGCACTATACAATTCATTCATGTAAAAAAAAAACTACCCAAAAAGTTATTGAAATTTTTAAAAATTTTAAAATAAATTCTTGGTTGACGATAGTCATAAATTCAAATGAGACTAAAATAACCTAAGATGAAGCTTGAGCCCAGGAGCTTAAGACCAGCCTGGGCAATGTAGCAAAACCCCATTTTTACAAAAAGTTGTAAAGTCTGGGTGTGGTGACATGCACTTGCAGTCCTAGTTACTTGGGAAGCTGAGGCACGAGGATGGCTTGAGTCCAGGTTTCAAATTACAATGATCTGTGGTTACGTCACTGCACTCCAGCCCGGGAAACAGTACAGGATCTCATCTTTAAATACATAAAGAAACTATACTAGTCCTAACATTACCATCTGTATCTCAGGAATAAATGCTTCAAACAACCATCTAGAATTTATTGAGCACTAACACCAGGTCTCCAGAGCTGAGTGCCATATCATCCTGTTTTTATTAGTGTTCTCTGCGATTCTCCTGAGAGAAGCAATCAAATTGGCCCCATCAAGTGAAACATTAAAAATGGGCCGGCAGCTAGCTCTGAGCCCCTGCAGACACAGTCAGTTAATCAGAATATCGTCACTGAATTTCTAGTCCATCAGTGACCCAGCAGCCAAGAGGGGCCTGTCCATGTCTATTTCTGTGAACGCTTTAGGATCCGTGGCTACAGATTTAGCTTAACTCTGCAAAAGGAAAAGCGCAGTCAGGAGTGGATGGGGAGGTTTAATACCTTCACTGTGGCCCTAATGACTACTCAGTCGAGCAGCCTTGACTTGGGACTGACACCTTTTTCACACAGGAAGTAGAGGAGGGCTTCATTGGAGTCTTTCAACGTCGTGGCTGGGGCTCGTATTGCTTTTTTACCCTATCCCTATATCATCATGTTCTTCCACTTCCTACACAGCCGCGGGCTCTTCCTGTATTTGTCCGGCAACAAGGAGCCGGTCCAGTTTGGAGCAAGGAAGTGACATAATTAAAATGGTATTCGATGTGAGGTCTAAAATTTGAAGCCTCATCTTTCCCCTTTCTTCAAATCTGGCCCCAGCACCCATGTCTTATCCCCTCCTCCTCCTCCGCAGCCCAGGCGGCTGCATCACTGGCTCTTTCCCAAACCTGCCAGGGCTTTACAGTCCTCCTGCCTTGCTCATGCTCTTTCCTTTGCCTAGAAGGCTCCCCAGCCTTCTTTTTTTTCTAGTATGAAACTCACATATGCTGTCTTCCCTGGTGGACTCACTGAGCACAGATACCCCTTCACCTGAACTCTTCTGTATCATTGTTTTTTAGTATATATTACATCATTACATTACAGTTATATACTAGGCAGTATAGAACAGAGTAAATGCTTGGTACATTTGCCTTTGTTCTAACATTCCAAACGTTCTGAAGCCTGGCCCCTGCTCTGAGTTGTCAGAATTCTCTCTTGTGCTGAAGTCTGTGTATATCTGACACATCAATTTGGACATCTGTCCCTGCCCAACATGGCATTCTCTCTCTCTCTCTCTCTCTCTCTCTCTCTCTCTCTCCATATATATATGTAATTATGTTAAATGTAAAGATTATATATAATTATAATAATCTTTATATATAATTATCCTTATACATAATAATCTTTATGCATAATATTAAGGACAAATTTGAAATCAAAGTTTGAGATAACTGCAGGGATAATGAAAGTCAGACCAAAGGAGAAACAAAAGCAACAGAGAGAAGAGAAGCTGAGCTCTCCTCAACATCCAGGGTACTGCTGACAACCTATTTCTTTTCCTTGATAAGCAGATAAGATACAGAGAAACTCTGTTTTAAGCTCACTACGCAGGCAAAGTAGACCAATTCAGGGTCCTCAAGTGATAAGAAAAGTGAGCCAGATGAACACAGTGGGGATAGGCTGATCTGAAAGACACACACACACACACATACACACACACACACACACACACACACACACACACGAGTGCATCCTTTTCCTGCCTGATTACAATACAAACTCACAGAAAAGCCTGCGGGGGGGAGGGGCGAGGAGAGCAGAAAGAGGACATTTGATGCAGAAATTAATCAGATGTTCCAAACAGATTTAGATTTTTCTCATAATTAGAGAACCTACCTTGCAATTGTTTAAAGATAAAGCGCACATGGGGATGATCATCAAACTTACTGAGGAGACAAAAATGAGGTATTTGCCATGTTGTGCCCCTAGGAGGTTAAAATGATTTCCACTTTAGTTTTGTTTAATTTTCTAGTGTTAACTTGAATAATGTATTATTTATACTTTATATATTTAAATATATATTAGAGAGTGTATAGTAAAAACTAAATATTCAAAAAGGTTATCGGAATAAAAATACACCAGCAACATTTTAAAGGGGAGAGGGAAGCAAAGCCTTTAGTACCCTTGTACAAAAATTTAATGGTAAGCTTGATGCTGGGCTTCCCGCAACGAGGATAGAAACACTGGGTTACATAGTTTTCCCCAACAACAGTTGCAAATCCAACGTGTAAATAGATGAAGATGGCTTTTCTAAGAAACGAAAGTACATTCATTTTTTTTAGAGAGAAAATGTATCCAGGTACTAAATTCTAAAAACAGTGTGCAATGTGGAACTGAACTTACATAGGACAATCAGTGTACAACACAACGGTCAACATCATCATCAATATTTCCAGAAGGGCAAATGTGGTTGGAAACTACTCTGCTGAGCCTTTTCTTTGTGCTATCTCTCCCGTACAAGGAATGGTACCTACATTAACACACGGGTTCATAATACATGAGTTTTTACTTTTCACAATACAAGTTTGTTTCTCAATGAAGGTAAATAGTGCACTCAAATTATGTGCTAGTGTATTAGTCTGTTCTCACACTGTTATAAAGAAATACCTGTGGCTGGGTAATTTACAAAGGAAAGAGATTTAATTGACTGACTCACAGTTCCACATTGCTGGGGAGGCCTCAGGAAACAGAATCGTGGCAAGAGGTAAAGGAGAAGCAGACACCTTCGCAAGGCAGCAGGATGGACTGAAAGCAAGCAGGGGAAAGGCCAGGCGTTTATAAAACCCTCAGATCTCGTGAGAACTCACTATCCCGAGAACACCATGAAGGAAACTGCCCCCAAGATCCAATGACCTCCACCTGGTCCCACCCTTAACACTTGGGTATTATGGAAATTACAATCCCAGGTGAGATCTGGGTCAGGACACAGAGCCAAACCATATCAACTAATAAAGGGACTCAGTCAGGGCTTAAAACCCAGTGTTGCCTGACTTCACAGTCAATGATTTTTCCACTGCATTCTGCAAGTAGAAACTTCGTGATTCATTAAATCATCATAATATTAAAGAGAACTTCAATACAAACAATTGTTCCATGAGTTAAACCACAGTGAGACTGAAATGAGTTAATAGCTATAAAGATTTGTTAGGCTATCATTGCAGAGAAAAGGAACAAACATCCAGATTCAGGACATAAAAAGTTAATCAAATCCAACCAATCTTTTCTAATAAAAGGGAACAATAGCAAAAATAATTCCAAATGGAATGACAGAAATAATTCAAAATATCACTGCACATGTTTCAAGTGGAGCAGGTGTGAATAAAGCTACTCACAGAGATCACAGAAGCTGAAAGGCCAAAGAAAGAGGCTCACAAACCTACTTTCTCAGAAGGAAACATTTAACAGAGACTTATGAACAGAAGCCTTGTCTCCAGTGGCTGGGAGAAAAGATGGTGCATCTCCATGCTGTCACCCTCAGCGTGAAGAAACATAAAGGAAAAGAACGTGTAGAATTGAAGTTGACCCCCCCAGGTAGAGGCAAGGACGCCATGTGAATCTCCCTATGGGCAGGATTTATGGTCAAGGTTGTTTTGACCCAAGGGCAGGATTTAAGGTAACAGTAGATAAAATACAAATCTTAAAGTAATTCCCAGAATTCGGGTTAATCAGAAGTCAGCATGTAATCTTCCATGAAATTAGAGTAAACAGAAAAAAAAAAAAAAAGTCAGCATGGCAGATTGGCATCCAAGACCGAGTTGCTTTAGCCTCCATACTGTGCCACACTTTACAGCTCCCCAGCTGAGAGGGTGAAGGATATAGAAAAGTAAGACCAGGCAGCGTAACCGCTGTAGATACTGGAGAGGCAAACAGGAAAGGTCTGCTGTTTAGTTTACACAATATCCCCAGTAACGAGGGAAGGCGGAGAGGCAGGCAGGACTCTGGTCTGTGAAATAGAAAACTTCATTGTAAAGAACCCAGGAAATAGAAAAAGCAGAAAGACTTCTTGCTTTCTATTTTTTAAAAAATCACCATAACCAAAAGAAAGTCTGGTAATAATAATAATAACGGTAACAGTTGTACTTTATTTTTATTTTTGTTTCTTTGTATTCTATTTTTTTAACAGTTGTACTTTATTAAGTGCCTTAGATAGATAGATATACATATATACATTTTTTTTTTGAAATGGACTTTCGCTCTTGTTGCCCAGGCAGGAGTGCAATGGCGCATTCTTGGCTCACCGCATCCTCTGCTGCCTGGGTTCAAGCGATTCTCCTGCCTCAGCCTCCCAAATAGCTGGGACTACAGGTTCATCCCACCAAGACCAGCTAATTCTGTATTTTTAGTAGACACGGGATTACTCCATGTTGGTCAGGCTTGTCTTGAACTCCCCACCTAAGGTGATCCGCCTGCCTCTGCCTCCCAAAGTGCTGGGATTACAGGTGTGAGCCACCACGCCCAGCCGGCCTTCTATATATTTTTAGATGTTGGGGTCTGCATTTATCCTTTTTTTTTTTTTTTTTTTTTTTGAGACAAGGTCTCTGTCACCCAGGCTGGAGTGCAGTGATCGTGGCTCACTGCAGCCTCGAATTCTCAGGTGATTCTCCCACCTCAGCCTCCTGAGTAGCTGGGACTACAGACGGCGCACCACCACACCAGGCTAATATTTTTGTATTTTTAGTAGAGACAGGGTTTTGCCATGTTGGCCAGGCGGGTTTGGAACTTCTGGTCTCAAGCCATCCTGCCATCTCAGCCTCCCAAGGTGCTGGGATTACAGGTGTGAGCCACTGAGCCTGGACTGCACTGATCTAACTTAGCGCTTGAACCCTCAGGGTGGTCTTGTCTATCTTCAGGCTTCTATGGCACTACAAAAGCTATTGAAAACCACTCTAACTCATCAGGAGTGGGAGGCTTTGCTGGGTTTAGCCACTTGAAAAATCACATTCAATGAATGCTTTCTGAGTTCCTTCCATGTATTAAGTCTTGGAGTATGATTCATACAGATATAAATAAAATGACCCCCTTTGTCTTCTAGGAGCTTGGCTACAGTAAGAGACAGAGATGCCAGCAGATAAAACAGGGCAGTGAAGGGAGGCCAGTGAGGATTACTTTTTGTCTAGTAATTAGGAATTATTCATTATGCAGAAATGTCCTTAGTAACATTTATACTTAGAAAAGAGGTAGAAGGTAGCATTAAAGACAATGAACTCTAGAACAAGTGCTCCAATGCTGCCTCTACCAACTTATTACCTGAGTGACAACTGACATCTCTGTGCTTTTCTTTTCACTTATAAAATGGGAGATGTAACAGTACTTATTTCAGAGGGCTGTTGCATCAACTAATACTGTCCTATATTTGGAAGAATGCCAGATACGTATATAATAGTAATTGTTGCTCTCAATAAATGTTAGCGAATTTTTTCTTAGACATAAATATTAGCAATCTAATTAAGCCATTCTAAATGTGCTGTGCTAGTGCACATTCTCCCTAGACCTTCTAAAGGGAGAACACTTGTCTCTAAGATGTCTATATACTCAAGTGTATTTCTGGCATTGCTCTAGGCAAGGAGATGTTTGCAGCCACAGTGCTTTGGGTCAAAGCCATCATTTATTCTTGAGCACCAACTACATGCCAGGCATCCTTCTAGGCACACTAGGGATATAGCACTGGAGAGAACAGGCAAAATTCTCTGCCTGCCTGCCTGGCATTTACATTCTAGTGAGGACAGACAGACAATAAACAATTTTAAAAGTACATTTTTCGATATGATAGAATGTAGTGACTTTGTCAAAAAATAAATTTTAGTGGTATGGAAAATACATTTTATAAGTAGAGTGGTCAGACCAGGCCTGAGCATCCCGGTGGCATTGAGCAGTGTCTTGAAGGAAGTGAAAGAGTGAGCCACGCAGATACTTGGGAGGAGGGAATTCTAGGCAGAGAGGGCAATTAGGACAAAGGCCCTGAGATAGAACATATTTACCCAGGAATCTAGTCTAGGAATATTGAGGAGGCCACTGTGGCAGGAGCTAAGTGAGTGATAAAAGGGAAGTAGGAGGTCAGGCACAGTAGCTCACACCTGTCACTCCAACACTTGGGGAGGCTGAGGTGGACAGATGGCTGGAGTCCAGGAGTTCGAGAACAGTCTGGGCAATGTGGTGAAACCCTACCTCTGCAAAAAAATAAAAGTAAAAATTAGCTAGGCATGGGTCTGCATCTATAGTCCCAGCTATTCAGGAGGCTGAAGTGGGAGGATTGCTTGAGCCCAGGAGGTCGAGGCTGAAGTGAGCTGTGATTGCACCACTGCACCCAAGCCTGGGTGACAAAGCGAGGATCTGTCTCAAAAAAAAAAAAAAATTCCAAGGTGAAGGAAATAAGATGATTTTATATTCATGGGGATATTCCAAAAAAAAGGAAGAAATGGATGATGTGGGTGAGAAAAGAAAATTGCTGGAGCATGTAACTGTTTAACTGTTGGACTGGTCAGTGTAGACTTCCGTAGGAAAAACACTCATGCCAGTTAGAATGGTGATCATTAAAAAGTCAGGAAACGGCCGGCGCAGTGGCTCACGCCTATAATCCCAGCACTTTGGGAGGCTGAGGCGGGTAGATCGCGAGGTCAAGAGATCAAGACCATCCTGGTCAACATGGTGAAACCCCGTCTCTACTAAAAATACAAAAAATTAGCTGGGCATGGTGGCGCATGCCTGTAATCCCAGCTACTCAGGAGGCTGAGGCAGGAGAATTGCCTGAACCCAGGAGGCGGAGGTTGCGGTGAGCCGAGATCGCGCCATTGCACTCCAGCCTGGGTAAGGAGCAAAACTCCGTCTAAAAAAAAAGAAAGTCAGGAAACAACAGATGCTGGAGAAACAGGAATGCTTTTACACTGTTGGTGGGAATGTAATTTAGTCCAACCATTGTGGAAGACAGTGTGGCAATTCCTCAAGGTCCTAGAACCAGAAACACCATTTGACCCAACAATCCCATTACTGGGTATATACCCGAAGGATTATAAATCATTCTACTATAAAGACACATGCACATGAATGTTTATTGCAGCACTATTTACAAGAGCGAAGACTTGGAACCAACCCAAATGCCCATCAATGATTGACAGGATAAAGAAAATGTGTTACAAATACACTGTGGAATACTATGCAGCCATAAAAAGGAGTGAGTTCATGTCTTTTGCAGGGACATGGATGAAGCTGGAAACCATCATTCTCAGCAAACTAAACAGGAACAGAAAACCAAACTCCGCATGTTCTCTCTCATAAGTGGGAGCTGAACAATGAGAACACATGGACACAGGGAGAGGAACATCATACACAGGGGCCCGTCAGGGAATGGGGGGCAAAGGAAGAGAGAGCATTAGGACAAATACCTAATGCATGTGGGGCTTAAAACCTAGATGACAGGTTGATGGGTGCAGCAAACCACCATGGCACATGTATACCTGTGTAACTAACCTGCATGTTCTGCACATGTATCCCACAACTTAAAGTATAATGAAAAAAAAATTTTTTTTTTTAAAAAGGGCGTTCGTAGGTGAGACTCTCCCTCCCTAAAATTAGAAGTCAAACTTTTACTTGCACATATGAAAAGTGCATTAACTAAGCAATTTCTTCAGTGACTACTGAGTTCTGCTCATGATGCCAGGTACTTTGCATATATTATTCAGAAGCTTATAACTGCCATGAAGCATCAGTATCATTTATTGCTGCACTCTAGGTGAAGAAATTGTTGCTGGGAGCTACAACAACTTGCCCGAAGCCACAACGATTATAAGTAGTTTCCACTTCGTGGTGCTCTTCTTTGCTGGTGTGAGATCCTCAAGGGCCAATGTCCTTTATCTCTGTAACTCTAGAGACTCACCCAGACCTTGGAAGAGGTTCACATTCCCGCCTGCCGAGATGGATTATGAGCCACCCTCGGTCTCATTCGTTGACTTCCAATAAAGCATTGGCTGGGGGTCTTTATCAGCATGGTTTTCGTTGGTTATAGCAACTCAGAAAAATATGTGGAAAAATATCAAAACTTTCAAGAGTATGATTGCAAGGAAATCAGAATAAACGAGTTTAAAACGCCTCCGACCCCAGTCCTCAGCCGAAGCCGTTCTCCAAGGGTTCTGGAAACCTTCTTTCTGACGCATCTGGTAAACTTGCCCGGGGCGAACCGTCAGAAGGAGGTGCGGTCACCTGGAGTTTCCCAGTAGATGCTCTGCTGTCCCGGGAGGAAATCATCACCCGAGGACGTAAACCCTCCCGCCCTTCTTTCGGCTCATAAAAAAAAAGCCTGGCACTGAAGTCCCTGCTGCGCGGCTGTGAACGTAGCTTTGAGAAGCGGTGCCCAGTGATGGGGCAAACAGCCAGGCCCTTCCAGCAGCCCTGAAAGCTGCAACAGCAACCCGCCTGGGAGCGGGGTAGGTCGCCACCTCCGTTGCTCTAACTCCCTGCGTGTCCTCCGCGGTGGTTTCAAAGCGGTTCGGGGTGCGGGACCCAGCCGCGCGGAGCCCACCACTGCAGCCCGAGGGGGGCCCGACGGTGTGGCGCGGCGCAGGAGCGCGCCTGCCTTCTCTCGCCGCCGAACGCGGGCCGCACCATGGCCAGGTGAGGAGGCGGCGGCGGTCGCCCAGGAGGAGAGGGTGGCGCCCACTCCGTGCGCCAGGAGGGCGCCCCAGGGACGCTGCCTCCCCCGCGGCCGAGTTGGTCGCCGCCGGTTGCGCGGCGGAGGGTTGGGGGCGGAGAGGAGGCGGTAGCTGCACGGGCCGAGGAGGGGCGCGCTGACTGCGCACCGCGAGCCTGGAGTGGCCGGCGGGCGCCGGGAGGAGAAAGGCTGGGCGGGGGCGGGGGCCGGGCGCTGGGGCGGCGGCGCCAGCGGGGAGCGGCGGCTCGGAGGGAAGATGAGACGGTGAGTGGGCTCCGGGGGGCAGTTTCTTTGCTGCTTTACCGGCTGTAGGGACAAAAGCCCGGACTGGGGTCGGTGGTGCCCGGGCTGCGCAGCTGTGTGGGGGCCCGAACCCCATTGTGCGTGACTCTCGCCGGGCTGGTTGAGGGGATCCGGGGAGGGAGTGTCTGGGCAGGGGAGATGCTTCCAGAGTGATTGTAGGAAACAGGCAGGATGTGGGGGAAACTGGGGCCAACTTGATCCAGCAACTCTGGAACGCACATGGGGAGAGGGATGGGGACCCTTGCATAGCTCCCCGAGAAAGAGAAGGTGCGCTGCTGGGTGGTGTGGGGCGCGGGATTCAGACAAGACCCCTCCCCGCAAATCTCTGCCTAGCTGCGCTTCTAGTTCGCTTTCTTTCAAGAGTGAACCCCACGAGCTTTACCCGCCAAGAGCCTGATCCCGATTCGGCCTTTGACCCGACTCCCCCCCCCGCGCCCCCCCCCGCGCCCCCCCCCGCAACTTTATAGTGTGGCCGTCTCGGCACCCCTAGACATAGCAGCTGGAAGGCTTGGGGAGTATTTTAACCCCCTGTTCCGCAAGCGCCCTGGCGGCGGAGGCGCAGCTGAACTGTTTGCTGGTTCATTTAATAACTAAGCCCTCGCAGTCATCGCTTAATAAAGTGCCGAGGACCTGGCTGACTCCCGCCACCACCAGGAAATTAAAAGGCTGACGGGCTGTCCCTCCCAGGCTTGGGGTTTCCTGTTTGAAAGAGCCTGGGAAGTCGAACCGCTTCGCAGTTGCTCGTTTACCTTTCTTATGTAAAAGAGGGAGCGACGCCTGCAGCTTTTTCTGGTGGTAAAGTGTCCGGTGCCTGGAAATCCTCTGGGCGCCCGGCCCTGCCCTCTTCCCTAGAAACCTTGATCCCGCAGCAACTCAACAGCTCTGGAGTGCACAGCTCGTCATGGGCAGGCACAGCTGGGAGTGGACTAGACGAGGCGTAAAAATGTGCAGTCTTTCAGTGTAAATATTTGCCAGCCACATTTTCCTTCGTAATATGAACGTGTAAGTTACAGATGTAGATTTTCAAGTATTGGACGTGTAATTTTAAGCTTCCTTGTTTGGTTTAATTCGGGCGTTCGAGATGTTATCTCTGCGATTCTGACGTCTGAATCCGGCTGCGAGAGGTCTAAATGAAGTCCACAGTTTCAGAAAGCTAAACTCTGGCCCTGTGAACACGTGAATTCTTGGTTCCTGGTAGGATAGCAACAGGACAGTCGGATTTGGGATAAATAAACCGTTAGAGTTGCCCACTATTTTAACAGAATGGCTATATCCCTCTTGCTGTGGCCTTCAATTGTGTAAATATTTGTTGGAATAAAGAGCTGAAGTTCTTTGAAAAGTAACAGTTGTGTCTATTCTTCGCTCCCCTTTCATACCCTCTGCTTAGTTATTTAAAAGGATTTTTTTTTTTTTTGCCTCCTTACACTTAATGGGGAAATTTAAACATTACATACACTTAAGAAACTCTGTGAAGTCTCCTAGCCGTTTATAACCGGCAAATCCTTTAATAGCAAAGAAGAGTTGAGTTTTTGCTCTTAGTTGGCTAATGCAGTGGCTAATGTAGCCTTCTTTCACCTCTTGAGACCCAGAGGTTTGCAGATCTCAGCCTCTCACAAATGGAAAAATGAGATGTCTGGTTAAGAGTAGTCATCATTTCAGTCAGTTTGCAGGCCGCAATGTGTTTCATGCAGCTGGCAGCTGCTGCTGTTCTGCTGTAGAGATCGACTGTCACGGATGTCGCCTGGATCCCTGTTTGAAATGGGGAGGAAAAGATACTTAGGAAATTAGACTCAGAACTTGCTCACTCCTATCTTCAAGAACTTTGACCAAGCTGAAATTGGTTAGCTACCTTTCCAGAAACATTTTACTTGCCGCGTGTGTTTGTGTGTGTGCCAGAGAGGGAAAAGTAAGCCAAAGTGATTGACCAACCCCCAGTTTTCACTGTTTTCTTCAAAGCTGCATTTTGAGCTGTATGAGGAAGCGTTGACTGTGGAGTGTATTGGAAAAGTACCTCAGCTCACTGCAACTTCTGCCTCCTTGGTTCAAGCCATTCTCCTGCCTCAGCCTCCCGAGTAGCTGGGATTACAGGCGCCTGCCACCATGCCTGGCTCATTTTTGTATTTTTAGTAGTGGTATGGTTTCACCATGTTGGTCAGGCTGGTCTCAAACTCTTGGCTGCAGGTGATCCACCTGCCTTGGTCTCCCAAAGTGCTGAAATTACAGGCGTGAGCCACCACACTAGTCCTCCTTCTAAATATTTTTAAAAGAGTAATTAAGATTATGGTTTTATAAGCTAATTTTCAACCCTCAGCCTGGAGGCAGCGCTATGGGGCTATGGATGGCATAGAGTGACAGTGGCTCTGTACATCTTCTAGGTGGAGTACCTGTACCATATAAATCTGTTAAGTCTTGGTGTACTTAATTGTTAACTGTGTAAATGTCACTCTTTTGAAACAGAAACACCTAAGTGATGTGTTTTATCTTGAAAGTCCTGACATACATTAGCGCTGCGGTTCTCAATGGGAGCGGGGATTTTGGCCCCTGGGAGATCTTGGTAATGTGTTTTTTGTTGTAACAACTGGCAGGAGGAGGTTGCTACTGGCACAGAGTGGGTAGAGGCCTGGGTTGCGGTGAAGCGTCCTGCCACACGCAGGACACAAAAACAATGATGCCTGGGGGAGTATGTTAACAAGGTCAGGGATCTTAATCTAATTCGGATCCTCAAGAAGCGTGTTTAACTGTGTTAGACCAGAGGCCTTTATCACAGACGCAGTTTTGTATGCAGCAGATTCTTTTGTCCTTGCCATATTAAGAGCCTTAATATACCATAGAGGTCTAGGAACTTGTGTTCATCGGCAACTTTGAGTTGGATTAAAGTCATGGGAGTTTGGAGCATTAGAGCACAAGGGAGCCTCAGAGATCACTGATTTCTACCCCTTCATTGTATAAATGTAAAAACGGAGACGCTCAGAGCTTTAGGACTCATAAGGTCTCAAGTGAGCTAAGGGCGGGCAGAGTTCTAGGTACAACCCGAAGTTAACATGTTTAAATAGAGATTCAGGAGAATGGGAACCAAAAACAAAAAACACTGGACCTGACCCTTTGTGAGAGTTTAAAAGCACCATTCCCTGTGAGAAAATAAATGAATACTTCAATGGGGGAGGGACGGCCTTAGCCATGGGGACTGCGGAGCACACGCCTGGGTGCCCCACTCCCAGAAAGGGGTAATTCCATTATATGACTGTGACACCCCACTTGTGATGCCTGCACCATCCTTTCCATGGCAAAGTGGGCAACAGATGGTTCTACAGACATAGCAGATGTTGCTTTTGAATCCAGGTACAAAACAGAATGTTTGAGATTTTCTGTCCCTCCCTGCCTTATCTGTTAAGAGTAGAGTAAGTACATGAATGGATACGGCTGGCTTGGACAGAAGGGAGAAGGAGAGAGGCCTCCTGAGTATGGAAGAAAAGAAGATACCTGGCATATGTGGAAATGAGCTAGTGTTGGGGAAATTGTGGGAGAAATTAATGAGCTGATGAGGGGATAGCTAATATAAATTCAATTGCATAGAACGAGGATTAAGAATCAGAAGACAATTCAGATGTAACTATTCTTTGAGCAGGTAGGACAAAATCATTTTGGAGGTAAAAGGCACCTTAGAAATTGTCTTATATGAATCTTTTTCCTCCAGCCAACTCACGGGGTTAGGTAGTGGCGGAATCTGCAAACCACCTGTTCTGTTGCCCTTCGCCTGCACCCACAGTCTCCACCATTCCGTCTGTTTACCTAATGGGAAAGAAAATGATGGTAAAGAAAGTTACTGTGAATTGCCTGGGAGGGTTTAAAAAGCATGGTATTTGTGAATGGATCTGTTTATAGAAAGGAGTGATCTCAATGAGATGATCGGAAAAGCCGTATGCCATAGCCTGCTTAATTACAAACGTGTACTCTCCGGATTACACTGCTGTGGTTAGCCATGACGCTCATCATTATGGGTTCTGGTTCTGTGTGCCAAGTGCTCCTGGTAGTCATTTTATCTAATAGTCAAATCTGACAGGTTCTGGCCATATAGGGAAGTTTTTAGTATGCCTTTGCTGGGAGACGTAAAACCTCTAAAAAGTGTTAAGATAGTTTCTTATCACTTTGACAGCCAGCCAAAGGGTGCACCTCAAAGCCAAGTACATAGTAACATATTTAGAAATGACTCAGGAGTGATGGACGGCCCTTTTAAGGGATCTGCCCTCCTGCAGGTACTACGTGAAAGGGGGGTAGCAGTCTTTTCATTATCACCTTTCATCTGGCCATTCTTGTTGCTGTTTTTCAGATGATGGGAGAGGAGACATGAATAACTTTAAAAAAAAATAATTGTTGGCTAGAAATACTTATTGGGACTTGATTATTGTAACTTGTCTTTTGAAAATAAATAAAACCAAAATTGCAGCTCAGGTTTTAAAATCCCTTCAAAGTAAACATTTAGTAAAGGCAGGACTTATCTCCTCGTTCATCCAGGAATTTGAGCCTTCCAGGAGTTAATTTGCATGCAGTTGTTTTCGTGATGTCTGAGGAGGTTTCTCAGACGTTGCAGAAAAGAAGCTTTGTGCTTTATCTGCTTTAAAGGCAGGGTTGTCTGTAGCAGCTAGTGGTCAGTGAGAGAATCCCAAGTGTAAAAATCATTTTATTGATGTGTGAAAGCTACAGGTCGCCGATAACTTGCTGTATAAAGAAACAGATGAATAAGATACAGAGGGATGGGGTTCGTTATGTCAGAAAGTTTTTGAGAGGATTTTTACAGGCGATACTTTTTTAGTGTGCTAGGTCGATTTTATTAGATGAAGTACTTTTCCTTGCTTTACAAATTAAAAGGAAGAAAAGTATTGTGTATGCCAGTATTTATTGTTGGCTTTAAGCCAGGTCAGCTTTCTCTGAGTCTTGCTGCTAATTCAGTGGGCATTGGTGTTGATCGTCTTGGAATGTTTTGTTTGCACTTTGCATGTGACTGCCCTAGATGGCAGTATGCTCATGGAATTAGCCTGTGAACAGCAAAAAGGTTAAGATTACAAGAGTTTTCCAAGATTTCTTTCTTGACCACCCTGCTGCTAAAACAAAGAAAGATGAAAGCAGAGGAAACCCGGTTCCTACATTCTTTTGACCAGTGCAGACCCAGTGTGAATAGGGCTTCACAGCCAAAAGATATTCAGAGGGGACTGAGAAGTGATGTCTGGCTGCCTCACTGCTTACGTCATTGCAGAAGTAGCTTTTCAAAAACAGTTTAAGATTTATTAAGGAAACTACAAGCCATGGGGAAGCAGACACAACCTTTCTTACACATCGTGCTGAATCAAATGCCCGTATTATATTGTGTTAACCTTTCTGACACATCGTGCTAAATCAAATGCCCGTATTATATTGCATTCACGTACCTCTGACCAGGCCTTTTCCCACTATGTTCACAATTTCCCATGCCTTTGGAACGTCATGGGCAACGGTGCCGGTGAAATCTTTCCCAATTAGGTAGCTGCCACCGTATCACTAAATCTGTTTCTGTTCTGTGGTCATTTCCGTTTCCTGCATCATATAATGAGCACTCCTGTGTTATTTAACCAGTATCTGTGGGAGTCTAGAAAGTTGGAACAGAAAGAACATGTAGTGCACCCTCACCGTTTTAAACGCGGGGAAACTTCTGCTAAAACGGGATGAAGATAGGCGAATTGATGTTCTCCAGATCTTAGTTCTGTTAGCAGAACCAGAGCTAGGGTGGATCTTCTGACTCACTTCCCAGGCAGCCAATCCAGTGTTCTTTCTACTATTATAATAAAAATAACATCCTAATGTAACCATGTCCTTTATTAGATCTTTTGACCAGAGGTATTAAAAAAAACAGCATTGATTAAAATTAAATTAAACTTAATTGATTAGTTGTCTCTACTTCTTCAAGTTCTTTCCCTTCTTCTGAGCAGTAAGTGGTCAAAAGGTAGATAGCATAGGAAGGAAAAACTGTGTCATGTAATACTCATTCTGCATAATCAGATGCTAAGTAATGATATGTGATATTATATCATTATTATTTTCACTTTACAGCATTTTAGAAATGCACCCACTCAATTTTTTTTGGTGGGGGGAGAGAGATTCTTGCTCTGTCACCCAGACTGGAGTGCAGTGGCACAATCTTGGCTCACTGCAATGTCTGCCTCCCAGGTTCAAGTGATTCTCCTGCCTCAGCCTCCTGAGTAGTGCTGAGGCCACCACGCCCAGCTAATTTTTGTACCTTTAGTAGCAATGGAGTTTTGCCATGTTGGCCAGGCTGGTCTCAAAACTCCTGACCTCAGGTGATCTGCCCACCTCAGCTTCCCAGAGTATTGGAATTATAGGCATGGACCACCATGCCCAGCTGTACCCACTCAATTTTTAATTTAAAGAGAAAAGCATTACAAACATGGAAGACATGAATGACCTGTGTTCGTTCCACCTCTTGTGAGCCTGCTTGTACTCTGACTATTCCCAGTTCATCAACCTTGGGTTGGAGAATGGGAATTCCAGCAAGTATTTAGGTCTGGGGAATGCTACTTTGGAAAAATAAACTATTACTCTCGAAGGAGTGTATTTTGATCAGTAGTGTGGGACACGGCAGGATGGTGGGAAGATTGGAGAGTTTCCCTCCCATGCACTGAATTCAAGTCCACGGAGGTGATTTCAGGGTCCATAGAGAGCGTCTTTATCCACATGTGATCCCAGGTTGATAATTATCTTGCTTGAAATTAGCTTTGAGATCAAAAG